ATGCAACAGCAGCCACGAGTCAGATTCACATCTACAACACTAGTCTGAGTAAACAGTTCAGGATACCAAGTCTGCTGCCCCTTTTTTATGTGCCCTGTTCAAGCCCTTCTTATTCTTAATCATCAGTGTTCTATTGACATTTTTGCACATGGCACTATTTAACTTATTTGTTTAAAAGAGTTTAAAGTTGTCACTTGTCACCTGTCACATGGCAGTGTTTAGTGTTTATTTGCAATAGTTTTTTCAGTGTTCTTTTTTTTTTTTAATTATCTTTTTATTATGTTTAAAGTCAACATATACAGAGTGATTATACTTTGTACACTTTTTTAACAACTGAAACAGTACAAATTGGACAAACAGAAAAGAAAGTAAAAGAATTAAAAATAGAGGTAAAGTAAAATAAATAAATAAAAGGGAGGCGTGTAGCATAGAAAAAAACGAACATGGGGGTTACATTACTAATGATGTTCCATTATAACCTGAAGTCTGATCTATGTGGGCTAATGAAATCAATCCATCCTTTCCAGCATTTTTCAAATTGATCCATCTTGAGTCTTAGAGCGAATGTTAATTTTTCCATGAGGTAAATTTCATGCTACTAGTGTGGGTGCTCTTTGATTTTAGCCATTTTTTTGTGATCGCTTTTTTACTGGCAACCAGCATTATGTTGAACATATATAATTTTGAGAAACCTAAAAGTTGGTGTGGCTTTTTACCCAAATACATAACTTGAAAACAAAAATCAATGCCACATCTTAATACATTTTTCATACTGTCTCTAATTTCAATCCAATATTGATGAATCACAGTGCATTCCCAAAGCACATGAAAGTGATTTGCTCTGTCTGTCCCACAGCCTCTCCAGCATGTTGTCTGCCTCCCCCCAGGGTGCTTGAATGCAGGTGTTAAAAAATATCTGACCCTGTTTTTCCAATTAAACTCTCTCCATGACAAAGAGTTAGTTGATTTCCATTGCATGTCATTTAAATTTTCCCAATCCTCTAGTGATAGTACAAAGTTTCCTTCATTTTCCCATCTTTCTTTTATGTAAGATGTATTGGTCCCACCTAATTCCTAAAGGCCTTTATATAACTTGGAAACAGTCCCTGCACCTAGGTCTGCTCTGTATGCAGCAATAAAGATTCTTAACACCAGATGTAGATTTTCCCAGATCATCTTTGTTAATTATTCTTTTTGTATGGTGCCTTAACTGCAAATATCTAAAGAGGTCCTGGTTGATTATTCCATATTGATCCTTCAAGCTTTGAAAACTAAGAGAGGTTTTTTCAAAGAGGTCCAAATAAATATTGATCCCTCGCTGCTGCCACAACTTAAAGGTTGCATTCAGTCTGTCTGGAGTGAAGCCTGGGTCATAAGTCACCCACCTAATCAATGAATAAGGTTCCTTCTGCCCGTATAACTTCACCATTTTAAACCAGGTTTTAAGTGATACCTCTAGCCATGGGTTAGGCTTTGCCTCAAGATGGTGTTTTAATTCATTGTCCCCAATGACCTGTAATGGGATCTTGCCCGAGCAATGGCATTCAATGGTTTTCCATATAGCTGAATAGCTTGGGTCACAAATATGGATCAAGGGTTTAATCTGGGCAGCTTGATAATAAGTTTTTAGGCAGGGGAGAGCAAGGCCTCCTTTACACCTTGGAACCTGGAGTGTCTTGTATCTAACTCTAGGTTTCTTTCCCTGCCACAGAAATCTCGAAATCCACTTATCCCACTCAGCAAATTTCTTTTCAGGGATCTCCACTGGAAGTGACTGAAACAAATAAAGCAGCCTCGGGAGCACGTTCAGTTTAATTATTTCTATTCATTGAATCAGCCCCAGGAAGGGCAACAGGTTCCACCTGTCCAAATCCTTTCTAATGTTGGAGAGCAGAGGGTCATAGTTTTCAGAGGTTAGACTTGTAAGGTCCTTTGGTATTTTCACACCCAGGTAATTCAATTTGTTCACTTCATTAATGGCATATTTATCTTTGAACTGTTGACTTGTCGTGTATTTGAATGTTAGCATCTGAGATTTATGGGAGTTTAATTTGTAGCCTGATATTGCTCCAAAATCTGAAAGTGTTTGCATTAGTGCAGGGAGAGAGGAGGCCGGGCGTGACAAGAACACCAGGACGTCGTCTGCAAAAAGTGCTATCTTATGTTCACCAACCAATGAGATACCATGTACATTATCATTTTGTCTGATCATTTGACTTAAATGCTCTATAAAAAAGGGCAAACAGGAGAGGACTAATAGGACATCCCTGTCGACAGCCGCGCTCCAACTCAAAGGATGCTGAAAGGGAACCGTTTATTTTAATTCTTGCTGTTGGCTTGTTATAGAGACTCCAGATTGTCCGAATAAACGTTCTATGAAATTGAAAGTTATGCAGAGTGTTGTATAAAAAAAGACCAACTTACAGAGTCGAACGCCTTTTCGGCATCCAAGCCCAATATGATTGCTTCAGTTTGTTCCTGGTTTATCTGATGGATCACGTGTAATGTACGTCTAATGTTATCTTGAGTTTGCCACTGTTTAATAAAGCCTGTTTGATCCAGGTGTACGATTTCAGGCAGAATTCGTTCCAGTCGTTTAGCTAATATTGATGCAAAAATTTTGTAATCCTGATTTAAAAGGCTCACAGGTCTATAATTTGAACAGTCCAGCCTATCTTTTCCCTATTTGGGGATAACTGTAATTACTGCCTCTCCCCAGGAGGGGGGAGGTTCTCCCCCCTGCAGCACCCAATTGAATGTCCCAAGCAGCAGGGGTGTCAAAGTTTCCCTCAGTACCTTATACCACTCAGATGTGTATCCATCCAGCCCTGGACTTTTGTTAGATTTAAGATTGGAAATTGCCCTGTTCAGTTCCTCTGCCATTATTGGTGCACACAGAGATTCGTTTTGAGCCTCAGACACTGTTGGGAGGTTTAGCCCCTCAAGCAAGAGGTCTTTTTTCAGTGTTCTATTGACATTTTTGTTCATGACATTATTTATCATTTGTTTACAAGTGACACTACCTCCAAGGCCTTTACACAGAGATGGGCCTTTGCACATGATAATGGCATTATTTAGCCTATAATTGTTTACAAGAGACTACCTCCAAGGCCTTTACAGAGAGATAGGCCTTTGCACATGATGGCATTGCCTTTGCACAAATCATTGTTTACTTTTCCAATGGCAAATGTGAAATTTATTTATTTATTTTATTTATTTTGTTTACAAGGGATGCAACTTGTTTCTCCCGTTAGAGAGAACCTGCTACTTGACAACTCAAATGTGACCATTTTTATAAGAGATTGTATTTTAATACTTTGTGTTTGCAGGAAATTTAAGTTATTTTATACTTTTAAATTTGTTCAGTTGTGCTTAGTTGTTCAATAAATCTTAACTAAAAGTACTTAATTTGTATTTTCTTCATTTATTTTCAGACAGTGTAGTTTTACAGTCCTTTAAAGTGGCAATAAAAAATAGTTGCAATAAATAGGTCCAGGGGAATCATACTAGTATCAATATAATTGGCTGTGCAGCAATTATGCTGCCACAGCACCATGTAGTGGCCAAACTTTTTTCTTTTTTGCGCACGTGCGGGGGGGGGGGGGGGGGGGGGGGGGGGACACCACACCTCCTCACTAAGGTAAACGTTTCTGTCTCCTGTGCTCATTACTCTAAGCTGTCGTCAGAACTCTCCTCAAGTCCTCCTATACTAGGACTCCTTGGTAGAAGTTTTTAGGCCAAGCTAGAGCTCTGAGAGGGTCCTCAGAATGTTTGTGAGTATGGCCACTGAAATCCACTGTTGACCCTATTCCTGATGTGTCAGAGGTTGCATTCAGATAAAGGTGTCCAATATGTGATTTTCTTCCTCATGTGATGCCACATTTACCTGACAATACTGTATGCTTGAAATGTTATAAAAATAGCTAGCAGAACAGTCAGAGGAGAAATGGCTGCAATACAAATACATAGTGAATTAATAATTCCACTTTATTGCAACTTAGTCTTATTCATGTAGCTTTGGTCATCACTTCTATTGGTTATGAGAACACTGTACTCAAAGTTTATTGAAGAGATCTGGAAACGTGGTGACATCTCTAAAACAAAGTGTGACCGGTCAATAAACACGAGCAGTCAGAAGATAAAGCAGGTTAGAAAAAAGTGGGCAGTTTCTCCTAACCATTTAAACCTCTTTATATGGAGTCAAAGTTAGTGTTCCTGAAATGTTTGTTATAATCCCTCATTGAACAGGGACACTGTCCCAGTGGACATTAGTGCCAAATCTTAGGAAACTCCCTAAAGGCCTTCTTGAGATATTGCATTCACGAGAATGAGACGGGCACAAGGTCACAATGACTTTGACCTCTGACCATCAAATTCTAACACTTTCATTGTTGAGTCCAAGTGAAGATTTGTGCCAAATTTGGAATAATTCCCTCAAGGTGATCTTGAGATATCACTTCATAAGAATAAGACTAACAAGGTCACAGTGACCTTGACCTCTGACCTATGACTACCAAAATCTTATGGGTTCACTGTTGAGTCCCAGTGGACGTTTGTGCCGAATTTAAAGAGATTCCCTCGTGGTGTTTTTGAGATATCACGTTTACAATATCCGCATGGACGGACAACCCAAAAACATAATGGCTCCAGCCACGGCTATCACCAGCATGGAGGCAAAAAAGGAATAGATTAATAAAACAATTAAGATAAAGCCAAATTCAGTTAAAGATGATTTAATTAATAAAGCCCCATCTCTATACTTCTCCGAGTACCCTGAATGGAATGGATTTAATGTTTTCTCTTGTGCATACCAGTCACCTGAAAAGGATGATCATTGGACATGGGATGTATTGAAACACAATATGAGCATTAGGGCTTGTGTGAATGAGATGAATTCATCACTTTCAGTGGGACTAGTATCAGTTATCAGGAAATCCTACACTTTTTTGGTGCACACACTTTGTCAGGCTAAACACACTTTAAAAAAGATGGAGATCTACCTTTCTGCAGGCAGGACATAGACCGTTCTCGTCTGTCCTGATTCGATGCCAGCAGAAGCGACAGATCTGGTATCCACAGGTGCAGGGGAAGAAGTTGACGTCATCGATCTCCAGCGGTTCCATACACAGTGGGCACTCCATTGGGTCGTCCTTCAAGTCAGGGTTCCGGGACATCCTATGATTGCACACTGCTGGACAGGACAGCTTTCACGGGTCAGGGACAGGAGGAGCTGCACTGGAACAGAGAGAAACAGGAGCTTTGATATATCCTGATGAGCAATCAACTAGATGAAAAATCCTAAGTCCATTTACTCGCAATCTCTACAGACTGATATCCCTGGCTACACCAAAGCAAAAGTGTTGAATGAAGCAACAACATAGTGATGGTTCATTCTTATCAGTTTAATAGTAAACAAAAAAATGGCCACTGCTCTGACCATCCTGCTATGTTGATTTGAATGGGAATGTCTGTTCTACTCTCATCCTATTTTTACTGTTTTGGCATAGACCAGCATCTGTCAAGTATTTGACTGACCAACACCGCACCCTGCCACATGACATTTCATTACACTGCATGACAATATTTAAGCTATGGTTTTTGCTAGACCCTGTGTTGTCGCTGAAGTTCTATCTGTATCTGAGCCACTATGTTCAAATAAGTCCAGTTTGAGTAACAGATCCATGACTTAAAAGGCTTCTCAGACACAAAAAACACAGACTGCACAGTGTTTTGTAATACTATGGACAAGAACGAACAATCTGCCCTTCAGGGCATACAGTACACAGGGCCCATTTCTATTAGCCAGGTACCTTGAAGAATCCAATCCCTGAACTGAGACGTTGCAGATAAGTGTTTTCTTCTTTTTTTTTTTTTTTTACCATAACCTACCGCATACCGTGTGTGGCTGTAGCACAAGACCCTTAACAAAATGACCAGAGAATCCAAAAAAGGCAAACATTCTTCATCAGTTGAAGCAATCAGGGTCCACATTTAACAGCAGCAAAACTCTATCAAAACTAGGGATGCAGGATATTAGTTCTTTTGCAGATACCCGATATGCCAATATGTAACAACTTATTTGATAACTGATAACGATACATCCATTTTTTCCCCACCTTATTTTAGTGATCATCAAGTTGCTTCTGTAGTGGAATTAACATCATATTATGCATGCATGCTGTTATTGTTATGGCCCACCAGCAGATGGAGACATATTCATTGTGCAAAATAAGAAAAAGCATACTGGCCGATTCCGATATTTCATTTCAAAGCCAATATCGGCCAATACCGATGACGTGCTGATATTATCATGCATCCCTAATCCAAACAGCTGTTTACAAACGCTCACAACTCATGCAAATCTAATTTATCCAGTCATATGCTCAGTACTTCCCAAGCACATGCATTTTCAATAAAATGTTACAGTATAAAACACTTACGCCTTCAAGTCGTGCTCCCTGAGTGTGCCCAGGCTCAAGCGTGCATATAAGCCCTGCTTGAGCAGAGTTCAGATTCATGCACTTATTCAGGCATGTTACTGCTCCATGCATGAGACTGTTTAACTGACATCTTTTAAATCGTAATGTTTTAGCAAAAATGCACGTTTGGGAAGCAGTGTTCATTTTGACAGCTTTAGGCTTAGTCTTCAGATGAAAAGACTTATTGATTTTAGTCATTTTTACCTGTCATAGTTTTAGTCAATATGTTTATATGTTTTTTTAATCTTTAAACAAATCCAGTGAGGCTAAGTCATGTATCAGTAATTAGAATCAAGGTGACAGGTTGTGTAAAAATTTAATTTGGACATTTTTAAACTATATTTTCAACTATAAAATATATCAGCACACTTACAAACTAATTTCTCCAGCAGTGTTTGACAGGTTTAAGAGGTGATTTACGAGCACATACATCATTTGAAAAGCAAAATATCTCTCTATTTATGCTCTGAAAAACTTTGGCACCACAAACAACTAATCTGAGACAACCAGGATTTGTACCTAGGTTCACTGTAAACTCTGACTTATCTATCTCACTGTTAAGAAGCAGAGAAATAACAAAATTAAAGCCTGAATGATTTCTTAATCTGCAACATGTTAGTCTGGAGGTTTAAACTCGTGTCCTCTCACAGAATCGGAAATTAAAATTTCAAACTGTTTACTTACAGCACAGCTACACTCACAGACAACTGAGCACTCTATCTGCCAGTCAAACTGCAGCAACCCATAAAGTCCAGACTGAGTGGAGTCCGGCAGGGATCAGCTGTGAAGTCTTGTGGCCGATGGCTGATTGCTCTGCTGCCGTTCAGCGAGCGGGTGGCAATACATCCTGGCACACACTATTTACTGTAGTTTGCCAGCCTGACGCTCATACAGCATTTCAAGTCAATTACAAAACATGGCTGTTCTCGGCTTTCAGTGTCCACTAGTCAACGTCTCGTCAATGAAAATGAAACAAAGATTTTGTCTTAGTTTTTATTATCAAGACCTTTTTTTAGCTCAACATCGTCTCATTTTCGTCATGGAAAAAAGGTGTTTGACAAAAGGTGGTTGACAAAAACTTTTCTTCATAGTTTTCATCAACGAAATTAACACTTTTGGGAAGTACTGAGTATAGTTCCTTTATAAAAAAAAGTTTGTGAAAAGAGATTGTAAGTAAAACCTCATGGTGCAAAGCATAAAATCATATAAAAATAATAAAAAGGAAAAAAAGGAAGTTCTAAGCAGGATAATAGGACTAGACAAGTTGTGCGAGAGTTCGTAAACAGATGTTTTGATACAGTTTTAAATGCTGTTAAATGTGGACTGCGAAAGTTCACCTTTTTTGTATTCTCCGTTCCCCATCGAGGCCTGCCAGAAAAACAAAGGTTTTCTTCACGAATTCAAGGAAGCATGCGGTATAGTGTACTAAATGTCTGAGTCACCCAAACTTCCTGATAAATGCATACTGCTGATGAGATTTCGGGTTAGTATTTGTGCTATGAAATATGCTTGTTTGGGCCCATCATCACAGAAAGTAATCTAAAATTAGCTTAGATGAAACATTGACTAGTAAGGCAGCTGAAAGTGCCGCTTTCCAGCTATGATGTGTGGATTCAGTGAGAGCGTTTCACAACCATAAGAACTACTGAAGCTGTTATTATGTATTATGTCATGATGTAGCTGTGTCACAGAGGGCTAGAGAGAAGATGTTAAACTTAGTCTGGATCAGTCTAAGTGGCCAATAAAACTATTGTAAAAACCTCTGCAGGCTGACACTGTGGCTTAATTGGCAAGAAACTGGGTGATTTTATAACACATGATTTACTTTTAAGCACGGATGGGCATTCAGCTAATGGATGGATGATGACCAAAACTGCAACACATAAGCTTTGTGACCTTTTTTGCTCGCTGTAAGCTATATCTTTTTAGCGGGAGTTTAGACAGACTGCTGTAAAGCCAGCTTCAGAACCCAATCACCACAAAAAAAAGGCATTGTACGTTTTTGCAAACTATGAATACATTACAGTTGTAAGTTATTATGTCGCAGATATGTAAAAATATTTCAACATCACTGTGGTTAAGGGGTGGTTCGGTTTAGGCACAAAAACTACTTGGTTATGGTTTGGAAAAGATCCATTTTTGCTTAAAAAACCCGCTTTTCATTGCACTTTCCTGGCTGAAAAAACAGCGGCAGGCCGCAAAAACACCCACGTGTGGAGTCTGAAAAGCCACTGGAAAGACAGCAATGGATGGCTAAAACAAAACTGTTGTTCTTTGTTTGTTGGTCTAAAGCAGTGGTCTGCAGCTTGGCAGGCGTCTACTCATAGATGTGAAATGGAAAAATTAAAGCTGTCCTAGTAGACGACCGCTGTATCTCCTGAGCCACAGCTGCCCAGTTGTGTGACATTGTTGTGTGTGTGCATTACAAGTTTTGGTGCAAATGGTATTCGTTAGGTTAAAAGGATTAAAATCACAGACAACCGGTGTGATTATTACAAACACAGGAGCTCCCCAGGTGATATCAGCGCTGTGCAAACAACATTTCAGTGGCAAGACTGTAGTATTGAAACACTAACAGCTCCTCGTTTGCTCTGCTTTCCTGCATGGTGCTAACCTGGAGAATTTTCCTCCTTCAGGTGGGAGAAGTCCCTTTTACACATTGTTTTGCTGCTTCTCCATCCTATATAAAGCCCTTTATACACAGAGATCGCACTATAGGGTTACTACTAGGTCTCTTCTATATGCCACCTTTGCATTTTTACGCAGAACCAAACACCAGCGGCATCATTACGCTCCAGTGTGTGATTTAAGACAGCATGCCAACGTCATGGAATCAAAAGTGGCGGTTTTTTTTTCCCTGTTAAAAGGGTTTTTTTGGGGGAGTTTTCCCTTATCTGCTGCGAGGGTCCTAAGGACAGAGGGATGTCGTATGCTGTAAAGCCCTGTGAGGCAAATTGTGATTTGTGATATTGGGCTTTATAAATAAAATTGATTGATTGATTGACGGGCTTGACATGTAACACAAGAGCCTCGGCCTCTAGCCTGAGATATAACATACATGTGGGCAGCACTTTCTAAACAGTAGCAAAGGCAAAACATGGCAATGACAACCACTTACCATCTCTGTTATATGATCTCTGTTATATGGCAGCTGATCTCATCCTCTGTTCAGAGGGTAAGGAGCTCCTGAATCCCATTGTTTTCCCAGCTTGGGCACATTTTCATCTGCTGTTTTTCCTCTTTGAGTTAGCTGCTAACTGCTATCAGCTACTTTTAAATCTCCCGCAGTGGATTGCACGCTTAACAAGTCGTCAAAATATCACACCTGTCCTGCCCATGATACGGTTCTGTCAGCTGTTTTGTACAAGCGTAGTTTTGGCGCTGTTACTACCTCCAATGGCGGAATCAAGGCAAAACAACTCTGTGCCCCCATTCTTAATTTTTCATTTTATATACTTTATTATTCCCAAGGGGAAATTCAATTTTCAAATACATTTTAACAGCTTGATATTCCTGCCTTAAAGAGAGTGTAAAATTGACCTAAAAGGTACGATCGTGGAATGTGGGGACAGAGTAGTTTCACTTTTAAGGCGGCATCAGAGGTAGTAACAGTATCAAAACTAGGTCTGTATAAATGGGACAACAGACAGGACAGGATCATGGGTAACACGCACGTAACACATGTTATGCGTGCAATCAACCGCAAACGACTTAAAAGTCGGTTGGTAGCGGTTAACAGCTGAATCAAAAAACAAA